CCTTTTGATGTGTAGCACGTCTTACTTTGCTTATTTATGGCTATACACACTCGGTCTTCTCGGCTAAATGAGATTTCAAAATCGCACAGTTTATTATCGGTTTTCTATGACAGCCTATGACTAAAGTTGATACCATTTACAATGATATTTGAAGCCATATTATTTGAACAGTTCTAGACTATGAGTATCTTACCCTGTCGTACATATTTTTGACATAAATTTTATTCTAACTTATTGCTTTCACTTATGCTTGATTTGTTTTACTCTATCGTTTCTCCGACGAAGAGGTATTTTCAATTTTCTGCATTTTGTTTATTGTTGCTTCAGTCTTTTTTTTTTCTGATCTATTTTATTATGAACTAGCAGCAGGGCCCGGCGTTGCCCGTGCTTGATTCAAAAATCGTACGACTCATACAGCAATCGCTATCACTTGACTTAAAATATTTTTGCCCTTCCATGCATTTAAATGAGTGCCCTTTGCCGTACTGATGTTGCTACATGCCTTACTTCTTGTCTATCTCACACTGCGAATTTTTTATAAGCTCTATACTAAACATTAAATCTGTTACGAAAAAAGAACTAAACAAAATGAAACCAAAACGATCAGCTTTAAAAAAAGGACTGGTAACTGGAAAAACTGAATGAAAAAAGAATGTTAACAACAAATAATTTTCACACCCAACCCAGTTCTGCGGAATCAGAATCAACGTTGAGTTTAAGCAAGCGAATGAGCCAACTGGAGTAAAGTGCCATGCAGATTTAAATGTTTCCCACTTGTGACGAATGCAGCTTTCGATTTTTCTTTGCATGCTAGCATGCTAGTTAACATTCGTGTCAGTCAATTGTTGGCTCTCACGCAGGCCAATAGAATATTCCTGCGTATTTGTGGCAGCCAGCTATAGGCTTTCACTCTGAACAGTAGAAAATGGCCGCTAACTACATAGAAATTGCCGTAGAAACATGAAAAAATCGATTATTTCCATTATCGATGGGAGTTCGAAAAGGCAAAGTCGGTCTTGGCATTTCCGCTAACTTGGAGCATGTGCATGTAAATTTTGGTGCAAATCCGTCGAAAATTGCGGCCGTGCATTCGTTACACACACACACACACACACACACACACACACACACACACACACACACACACGCACACACACACTCACACACACACACACACACACATACACATCCTGCCTTTTATAGATAGAGATAAAAGAATAAAGAATTGTCTACTGCTTCAATATTTCCACGAGTGTCCATTTTATTTCACTTCTCCCTAGTTCTTAATTTCTTTGTAAGTTTTGTCTTACTCATTTTACATTTCCTTGTTAGATTCCCTCATGTTTCCTACGTATTTATCTCTTGGCCTTTCTTCAAGCGCTACTAATTATAATTTCACCGTTCTGTTATGCGTATTTTTTTATTTCCATTTTGTCATACTTTTCAAAGGCGCCAACGTTAATGTTATCTCCTTTTATGTACACACAGTTGCTATTGTCCCTGGAATGAACAGTATTACGCATAGTCATTTCGAACTTAGTCTGTCAGTCATCGATTGTACCTCCTTTTTTGTCCAACTGAGAACATCACAAGGGATTTTTCATATTTATTTAACCTTCATCAACATCTATTATTTTGTGCATTGCAGTTCATTCTTCCGTGTGATTTCTGTCTTCTGTCAATCGAGTGGTATATTTCGCCTATTATATATCCTGTCACGTTTAGCAAATCGAACGTGATCTGTCTGTAATTGCTTGAACTCCTGTGTCAGCATAGTTTTGGATTAAAGTTTTTCAGATTCGAGTGAGAGTACTACATTTTGGAAATTGCTGAGACAGTCTATCCTGTAAAATTTCTTATCTTAATATCTCTGGATTTCATGTGAACTTTAAATGATTTTAATTCGACATAATACGTTTGCGTTGTACAATCTAATGAAAACACGAAATCATATTTCTCATACGTAACATTATTACTTATATATGTCTGGATCATTTCAATAACTGCCGCCGAGTGGATGTGTGACCTTGGTGTTTTCCCCCAACGTAGATTTTACATTCTCCAGAAGATGTAAAAGGCTCTCTCCTTATATATCATCTTGTCATTCTGTTTTATCCTACGGGCGTATATTCTTGGCACAACTGAGTTGAACACATGTTTACATTTTTTTTAAGGCGCGTCTGAGCACCTAGCGGCTAGGAGGACCCCTGATGAATTTGGCTTCTCTGATGGGGAATCAAATTTCAAAATGAATTTCCGCTAAAATGTCCTGAGAAATGTGTTTATTTTGACAACTTCATATTTCATTCCAAACGTTGTGTTTGTATGTGTGTGTTTCTTCTTGATTTGTAATACACGGTTCTATTCTTTCTACCAAATCTTCCGTATATACTCGTGTAACATACGAAATCACGTGTCGTGCGACCTCCAGATTTTCGTGTATAAAAAATGATTTTATCATGTATCCGTGTATCACCCGAGTTCCTTTTTTGAGAGACCAAATTCCCATAGACTAACTTTTTTTTCTTTTCATCCCAACTTCTAGTTAAATAAATTCAAAAGTAAAAGAGAATGCTAAAAATATCGTTAGTAACGCTATACTCGTTGCGTAAACAACGAGAAACGAGAAACAACTAGACATCTGATAAATATAAGCAATGGAAAAAAAAACGTATCGTTGCTATTTGTATTTTATAATATGATACTAATGTGTGACATTTACAGACATTATTATTGGATCAGTTTTATCAAAACCATGTTTATTTTAAATTCACCGGTATTTTTGGACTACAGTAAATGGATATACAGTTTGGTCAACGGTGTAGCCAGAGCCAGGAATACATATGCTAATTTTATATCTCGTATATGATGTGACCCCCACCCCTCGCTTTAAAATTAACTTCCAAATGAGGTCTTCAGAATTCGCTCGATACGCAAGTATGTAAGATATTTGCTATTCTTGGTCGTTTCAGCTTTTCTAAGACTTAGTTCTGCTACTTATTACTCATTAGTATTACTGATATATGCTAAACTTACTACAGAATCAGAATGCATTGAAACTAATGCTTATTAGGAAGAAAGTAAATTTCTGTGCGAATTTATGGAATAACAAATATTTACATTATTTACAGTCGGCTAATAACCTTACCTTTGTTATTATTATCACAACGTTTAGGTCATAGTGTGCCGTGAATCTTATCAAGTGCTTGTCTAGCTGTTTAACTTCCAGGAAACATCCAACTTAACGGTTTATTTAATCTATGGGTGGAGATTGATCTAGAAAAGGACGAAGGAACAAGAAAAATCTACCACCGTAGATTAAATAAACGATTCAGTTCCAAATCCCCTAAAGATTCTCCGGAACAACAAACTCCGGAAGAAGGCCGGCGAACCGTTTTGATAATTACAATGAAGACAATGTTGCGTCAGTGGGAAGAATTGGGAAGACATTGATCGTGTTGAAAATTGATATTCAGAAGTCTGTATCTTTAATGTCTTTAATCAATATCTGTCTATATTTCTGAGGACACATGGCACAGTGGATAAAGGCGATCCAGTGACATGAGCCAAAGAGTGTGAGTTCAATACCCGGTTAAGGCAGTGGAGAACTAATAACTGACACCCATTAAACATGGCACGTGGAATGAGAACAGTCTACTCCAGTGAGCGAAATAAAGGGTTTAGTTTGACATTCCAATCACCTGAAGAAGGCCGGAGCGTACAACGGCCGAAACGTTGTAATAAATATGGCGACAAAGATGAGGACAATAGTCCGAATTCTATAAATAATGTCTTTAATCAATGCCATTAAGCACCAAGGGGAAATAAAAATTTATCGCTACCACAAGACTTTAGTATTTTTATTATTGTCAGAATTACTACAGATTCATTTTCATCATTTATTTTCGTATTGGTAGCATTGGTAATTATTGTAATAGTAGCAGTATTAGCACCGCTGTAGTAATTGCCGATTATTTCCAAAGATTCTTATTTTCTGCTGAAGTTAATTAATTTTATAAATCAGATTTCAAACCACTACTCAATTATGGATTTTCTTTCTTTCTTTCAGAATTGAATATTATTCGTAAACATATCGCGTAATTTAGGGAAGTGTCCTTTATATAAAAAAATATTGTTTACCATTTAATTTAAAACCAGTAAACATATATTATTCTGTATCTTAAAAATCATCATTAAAAAATATGAATAAGGCTAAAAAATAGTTTTATTTATTTTCTTTCAAAAACAGACAAAAACATTTTTTCTGCTAGATTTATGTTTAATTCTTATAATTGTTCTTATTATGTAAATATAGAAAAAGATAACAGAGAAAATATATTTATTTTAGGTTTCTATCAATCGCAAAAAAAACATTATTATCCCTAATTTATTTTAATAGTTATTTTTATATACATTATTATTTTATAAATAAATCGAAAACAGGGTAATTCTCATAAAAAAACAAATCTCATTTATAAGATATTGTGTTAAACAAATGAAAAAAAATGATGCAAGCATCAACGTACGATTTCCGTTCATTTTTCTGGTTTAGAGATATTAATGAATATTAGCTTACTCCAGCAGAAACCATTTTGGAGATAGAAAAATTGTGCAGCATCAATATTTTAGGATCCTGTCTGCCTACCTGTGAAATCTTATCCGTGCTATATCACTTACAATCAATATCTGTGACCAAGAGACACTAATTACAACGATATATTTATCTTTTTTCGCTGATTGTTTTACTTTTAAGAATAAAGTTCAGATATATTGCTCCTTCTTTATTTTGATATTTTTCTCGTTTTTATTATTCTTTTAAATTACCGCCTTTTCTCGCATTGAAACGCAACTTGTCCTGTTAAAACTTGAACCTAAACGAACCTGAAGAGATATAATCACTAAAGATAATATTTAGAAAATATGGTGGATTCTAATGAAGCTGCGAATTCTTCTCTACGAGTTTCGACCTTTTCTGTTAAGAATAACACCCCCTCCACTAACTAGGTGAGGGAGTGATGAACAGAGAGAGAGAGAGAGAGAGAGAGAGAGAGAGGGAGAGTTCCAGTTTCTGTGATACTAATGATTATCACTTGCCCCTTTTAGTGTATGCTTATCAAGTTTATGCTATATTCAAGCTCGTAAAATGTACGATTTATCTCCATAGTTTCTTAAAAAGAAAAAAAAAACGCCAAAAAAACAAAGTATTTATTTATTTGCGATTTATAAATCTAAAAATATTGAAATTATTTATTTTCTTTCTTGGCAATCTCAATGAATAATTTCGTAGTAAACAAATATTCATGCGTCAAAAATAAGTAAAAAATGATCCGCACTTTCACCATAACATATCTGTAGGTTTGTCTAACTTCTGCTCATACATGCTTATAGTTGGTCCTATTTTGGTCAAAGGGATCGAATGTTGAGCTTGATAGCGTCAGTTTTCTTGCTACTGTTACAAAGTAAACATGGCTGCCCCTTTACGACTTATGCATCATGAAGGAACAATAGTATCAACTATAAGCCCACATGAGCAGACGGCTTTTATTGTGAAAGCGCGGATATTTTTTACATACGCTTTTATTTATATATTTTCTGCTAATTTTCCAATGTTATTTTTATTTTTATTGTCCCCTTTAATTCTTCAAGACCCGACACTTGGCAGAAAGCCAAATTCTTTCAAAGATTTAAGAAATTCCCCTGGCTAAATTCTCAATCGATCTCGATATCGAAAAGTGAATGCCTTATCGAATTTGCGGACGCATGTTCAAAATAAATATATCTAAAATCAAATATAATCTTTACAAAATATGGATTAGCACTTAAATAGTTTGTCAGCTTCTCACCGTATCATCTTTGGATGTCTCATGTTTCATGTATTGAAAATTCGTCATTTGGTTGCCGTGGGTAGATCTAGCCTTTAGCTGTTCAGGGGTGGACGTGACAATCTGATGGAACGTGCCCTCGTTAAAGTGTTCTTTGGTACTTTTGAAGAATCTATTCCCCATTCTTTGGTAGCTTGCGTTCTGGTTTGATGTTGATATTATATGCTTTGTTTAGATCCATAATAAAGCGGTTGATGTTTTTGCTTGGTTCAAATTTTCTGATATCACGTAGTGATTGCTGCCGCATGATTAGTGAATAGACTGTGGAGTTATAGTTGTTCAAGTCGAGGCAGATTTTAGAGTGGCCAACATTTTTTATAGGTCTGACTGAAGTTCGGCGTTGACCGCTTTTGTCCGATGTGTAGAAACGATTTTGCGATTCAGGATAGCTGCCCGCTGTTACTTGATGAGATCGGTGCCAGTGAAAACAGTGTAATCCATTTATCATGCTGACACCAGTTGTTATTTGCATGAGAGAAGAAACGAAACAAGTACCTCCATTGAGGCGAAAAGAAAAGAAGGCAAGACTTGTTAATATAAAATTCTTTGTATTGTTGATACAGCTGATATCTGCGTAATGTCTCTTTGTAGCCAAAAGTATAGTTTGTAGAGCCTGGAGTTGATGCGTGTATCTGGCCGGTTGGACGAGGTTATTGGTGGTGACGTTCAGTGTTTGTCAGTGGCGTATTCCTTGGTGCCTCATCTTTAGCTGCGATTCTGTTTTAGTCGTTATGAGCGGCGTTCTTAAAAGCAAACGTGGTGAACCATAAACACATCTAATTTTTTATGTTTTTTTCGTTGTTTTTATGGCAACATTTTTGATTGGCTCCTTTTATTTATTTATTTTATTGCTATTTTATATTTTTTGAGGGAATTCCTTTTGTGAGTCGGATGTGATGCTCGGAGCCTTTGTGCAAAGGGCAACTTTCACATCCGATCGACATGAAGAGTGAATCAGAAAGGGATCTAACGTGTAACAGAGTATAACATATGCTGCTAATCAAACATATTGCAACGTTATTATTATCATAATATTCACAGACTTTCACATTTTTAAATTTGTGCAGACAGGAGCTCAAGGTTTATATAAGTTTCTTTAAAAAGTTTGTTGTAAAACAATTTCATGCTGATATAGTTTCATTATTTTGGTATCAGACGAACCAATGTTTAATCAGTTATGTCTTTATTGTCTTTGAATGTTGTTACTTACAAAGATTAAACATACTTCATTTATGAATTTTTCATTTGATTAAAATGTTAAATTCTTTCTTTAACGAGAATGATAATGCAAACAAATTCAGAATAAGGAATTATTCAGAATAATGAATGAGTGTTCAATTTCTTTTAGATGGAAACCTCGCCTTTCAATGTTTTGTGGGTCACTTGTCGAAATCTCTACAGTCACAATATTTATTTTTTATATTTGTAGAGATTTTAAATTCGGTCGGTCTTCCTAAATCTAAGAGATAGCGCATTGTCAGTACGTCTTGTCAGTACATATGGAGTGTTGATTATTATGTCCTTCGGTATGGAACGGTAGGCCCGTGTTTTTTGTTTTCTTTCAGCAAATTCTTTGTGCGTCTCGTAATCATCTCGTGGTGTTTCGTGCATGTGGTCCTTGTTATGAACTTGCAGACTGAGGTACGTGAGTTCGCTAAATCAAAAGAAAATCTCAGTAGGAAGATTGTGTCTTTATTGTCTTTGAATGTTATTACTTACAAAGATTGAACATACTTCATTTATGAATTTTTCATTTGACTGAGCTTGTGAATCTCCTCATATAAAGAAATACCTGGCTTCTTTCTTAATTGATAATTCGTTAATAATACACAACTGCAGATCGATTGGAAAGGCACTCAAATACGCTACATATTTACTTAAGACGAACCTTTTTTTAAAAAAATCTCTCATCTTCCCTTTTTTGTGATTACCAATAACAATAAAACTCCCCCGATCAGAACTTACAATCTTATTGCAATATGATACTAAATTTCAACCGTCCTCTGACCCAGTCAAATCACTCAATATTGTTTTATACTGATACCTCAACTGCTAGTCATGTTTTTCTTTTTTAATTTCTTCAGGGATGATTTTCACCCGTTGACGAATCTTCTAAATATTAGATAATTATATAATTGCATTTCAGAAATAGAATATTTTCAACTACTCATGAATTCCATTATTTAGTATATTTTTTTCTTTCAAACTAGTTTTTAAATAAGAATAATTTTTCATATCTATCCTTACATTTATTTTCTTTACTTCATGCACATAATATTTCATAGACTAGATAATCTTCTTCTTACCAATTTTTCTTTACCAGTTGACATTTTTTTTATTCTTTTATGTATTTCTCAGACTCGTATCTACAACTTACTTGAATTTATACATGATTTTTTTTAAGTGTTTTATTTTATTTTCTTGCAATATCTGAAAATGAATTCTGAAACTAAACGTTTCTAATATTTCATATCGTTTTGGAACTATTATCTTTTATTATTCTGAGAACCTGACTATTACAGATAAACTATTGTAATTGATTCCACATCTTGCTTCAACTAAAAACCGACTTTTTTTTATCTCAGTATATGTCAACTTGCTAACAGCTCTCATTCTAGTTTGATTTTTTTCTCTTGTATTGTCAAACATAATTTTTTTTTGTTTTTTCGAAATAGTTTTAATACGAGATTGTCATTTATGTTTCAATTATTTAAAAGATTTACAAATCTGTTTCTCTGGCAGCTCTTTGACTCTAACAAGTATAAATTTCCACTCATTACAAATTGGAAATCTAATATTGCCTCAAGTGTATTAGAAAGGAAGAATATTATTTTTGTTGTAAGAAGTTTTTAATTATTTTGCTTTTTCAACATTCTGAAGGATCTTCGTCTAACAAAGTGGAATTAATCTTTATTTTTAACCACTACAGTGTTTGGCGAAAACAGACAGTACGAATTCAAGTAAAAGATTTTTCAACAATTCAAGAAGTTTTATTTTTCATATGCAAATCGTCTTACAGAATATCAAAATGCAATATTTTTAAAGTTTTCAGGACTTTTTTTTCTTTTAAGAATTCAGTTATTCCAGATATGTTTAATGGATTAGTCATGACTGACAAAATGTCCCCCAAAATATTTTACTGTTTAGTCATAATTTACACCTGTTCAGTTTCCCGTGTTTGGGAAATATTTTCTTTTCATTTCTTATTGAAAGTTTTAACATGACGAAAATGGATTTTTCTACCGGTTCATTTGACAGTGTTCTTCAGTGGTTAGGAGCCACGGTGTAGTAATGGATAGCGGCTGGGACTGAGAAATCTGAGAGCCGACTTCGAATTCCAGTTGAATCGATTACATTCACTTACGTGCTAAAACCCTTGGGAAAGATATGAATCCTCTTCTTCTCCCACCTCCCAGGTAAATAGCAGGACTGACCAGGTTCTGTAGCCTTGGATGGCAAAGAAATGGCAACCCACTGAGGGAAAAATCTGCTTCGTCAGTCATGTATCGACATATAAATGATCGCCTAAGCGTGTATCACGCATGGCACAAAACTAACTAACTGTTCGAGTCTAGATAGATAAAACTTCGGATGCTGATTTTGAAGATTTAATTAACCTAACATGATTTTCCTCTCTCTTTGGGACAATACATTCCGCAAATAACATTATTATTACTTCACATTCTAATTTAATATTTGCCCTTTTCTGGAAGAGAAAAAGAATCCTTCTTTCTCATGAAACACACCTTTTCTTTTCTTTGTGTTTTTTCATGGGCTACCTGTGATTGTTCCGCAATTGAAGATTTTGGGTTCAAATCCTCAATGTAATCGTTTTCTTGGGGCGGAGGCAGTGATGGCTAGGAAGAGGGAATGAGCTCAAAAATTCGTCACCCACTAAGGACTCATTAGGCTAGAGAGGAAAATAAGTTATGAAGAACTTTAGTGTACAAATTTATTCCCTTCAATCTCCCACATTCAACTTGTCACGCCCTAAAAAAATAAATAAAGACTAAAATTACTGTCTATTCAATATCACAGGACTATATTTTCTGTTGAACTCATTGCCACATAAAATGAAATCACACGATTTAAGGAGATCGTATAATCGATTTGTAAAAAAAAAAAAAATACTAATCGTATGAAAGCCGATTGTGATTTCAATTTAAATTAAAAAAAAAAAAAAGATTTACTCGCAAACCTGCACTTGAAAATACGGCATAACTTCATTGATTAGACATTCATAGCCGTTATTAAAATGTTTTTAAAAAGATACTTGTTCGTGTGCTAACAAATTAGTAAAGGCATGAAACTTAAATTCTCTTTGGTTAACTAATGGAATTAAATATGATATTATATTTCCAAGGCCGACAGTCCAAGATTCAGGAAAGCGAACTTTACTTTCTCAACTATCTTCTAAACTTACCTATAGTAAGTATAGTCTAATATAAGGTTATAATTGTGGGTCAGTCGTTAAGAATCGATCTCACTGTGTCTGATTATTAGCTTGAAAAATGAATCCTCCGATAAAAGTAGATGACAGTTTGCTTTCTTTACAAATCACATAAAATCAGCGTACGTGTCGATTCCATAAAGGACTGATGCCCGATTCCTGTTTATATATATATATATATATATATATATATATATATATATATATATATATATATATATATATATATATATATATTTGTGTGTATTTGTGTGTATCTGTGTGTATTCGTGGTCAAGTTGTTGCGCAAACTATGCATGAATTAATAGCAATAAAGACCGCATCGAACGGAATAAAGTAAAGTTACGACGAAAAACACAAAAGGACAACAAATGCATTTCTTTAAATTAAAAAGAATGATAATGCGAAAAAGAATGTGAAATAAATTATTGAGTTTATAATTAAGCAGCAACAACAACAACAGCATTATCATCATCATCATCATCAGCAGCAGCAGCAGCAGCAATTAAGAAAATATTTAATTGCATTCCGGGCCAAATTTGCACGGCGTAGCTTTGCTGATTATAAAAACGTTTATGGCTTGAAAATCGCGGTACTGCGAGTTGCATTCCAGCGACACCAGATTTCTGACAGGTAAAGATCTATGAAATCAATATCAGATTGTGATATTGAATCGTTGGCTCGACAGAAAAGCACAAAGAGATCGAATCCTACCAAAGGGTGTATAGGAATTTCAATGAAATCAAATAATAATCGACTATTTACCAAATATATTGGTGACGGGGATTCGTGGTTCAAGTGACACGATTTCCTGCATCTTTACTCTCTCTCTCTCTCTCTATCTCTCTCTCTCTCTCTCTCTCTCTCTCTCTCTCTCTGTTGTTGTTGTTGCGTAATTTTCCAGTTGTTGTAGTCATGTTGCAAAAAGGTATTTTATTTAATTTGGAATTAATTATTTATCAGATTCTGAAAGTTTATTTTGGCGAAATTAACAGAAATTATCGAAACTGGAATTCGGGAAAAGGAAGAAAAGTAAGATGCAAAAGAGCAAAAGAGAAAATCATATAAATAGGAACAGATAGAGAGATGTGAAGAGACTGAGAAAGATAGATAGATAGAAAGAAAGAAAGAGAGAAAGAGACTGAGATGGATAAACAGATAGGAAGGAATAGACTTAGATAGACAGACAGAAAGGAAGGATCAGACTGAGATAGACAAAAAGAAAGGCATAGACTGAGATAGATAGATAGATAGATAGATAGATAGATAGATAGATAGATAGATAGATCTGAATAGACTGAGATAGATAGATAGATAGATAGATAGATAGATAGATAGATAGATAGATAGATAGATAGATTCTTTTACACATATTTTGTTAAGAAATAGAGAGAATAAAAATGAGTGAATGAGAAGAAAAACGTCGGTTGGTTGCTCAGTCGGTAGTAAATGAATTGAAGCCACCATTAGGTACACCTGAAAAATTCGCTGCTGCTTCTATAAATAAGTTCTTTGAATGGAATAAGTTTGGTCTCATGGTTGGAACAATGGTCTGAAGGAAAAACTTTTATCTTCCAACGAGTGGGGCAAAATGATTTTCACAGAGGAATTAAAAATGAAATGGAAACGACAAAGAATTAAACACTGATCAACATGTTTTGTCACTTAGTGAATTTGATCCGGAATCCGATTTTGATAAAGGCCCTTGTAAATACGCACCTCTTAATAGTTCGGGGTACCTGGCAGAACGGATCTGATGTTGCAATATCAGAAATCCGTAATGAAGACTGGGTTACATCAATGATGACCTCTACCGTTGCATTTTATAAGTGTATGTCAAGAATAGATTATTTAAATGTTGGATTTAAATTAATTCTACAGGGATTCTTCGTATTTCATGGATAGCCATCTTTCTTGCCCGATTTTTGCTACTTATCGATGGTGATCGATGCCAGCAAATAGTCACAAATCTCCAGCCCATTCTTCGGTATTATTGAACACGCCATAACATCACGGTAAATCTTATATTAGGTGACTCTCACTAGGTGCCCCCACCCGACGCGTGGTTGTAGTGGGCATTAAACAGTTCATTTCACATCAGAAATATTTGGGTATTGGGCTTGGTTGTAATCGAGGAATTTCCTCGATCAAGTTTGTATATGTAATCTTGTATGTGCCCTTTTTGTATAAATCCGTTCAAAAGAATCCCTCAAGACACATTAGAGACACGCTACTTCTCGTACATGACCACGCATACGTATATATATATATATATATATATATATATATATATATATATATATATATATAATTTATATATATATAATTTATACATATATTTATTTCAATTGAATCAATAAACTGTTAGATCCTCATACGTCGAAACCGACGGGAGAGTATATATATATATATATATATATATATATATGTGTGTGTGTGTGTGTGTGTGTGTGTGTGTGCGTGTGTGTGTGTGTGTGTGTGTGTGCGTGCGTGTTTGGGCAGTAAAGTATTTTTAAACATGTTTCGTTAAATATGACAGACAAGGAAAATTTAATTAATTTTTATTTAACTTTCCAATTATACATACATACATACATAAATATAGATAGATAGATAGATAGATAGATAGATAGATAGATAGATGATAGATCTGAATAGACTGAGATAGATAGATAGATAGATAGATAGATAGATAGATAGATAGATAGATAGATAGATATGAAGAACCACGACATAGATGGAGAGAGGGAAAGAGCGAAAGAAACTAAGTATTAGAATGATAGAGATATGGAGTGTTTTCTATATCATCCTTTCTGCTTATAATAAGCGATATAAAAAGTTTGATATACGGTGTCTTCGACATGAGGACGCTGGGATTCAATTTAGAGCTCGCATTTCTTATTGACGCCTGAAAAACAAGCCGCATTATTAAGTTTGCTTTTGATTTTCTTTACGACTGAAATTTCTTGGAATGTCCTACATTTGCCAATGATCAGTCTGCTTTAAAAAAAAAAAAAGGTACGTTCCGATTTTTTCTTCCTCTTCCTATTTTCTCCAATGTTGAACATCACAAGGATTTATAAACAAGTTATTCTTTTAAAATATTTGTTTTACCAGATGGCTTAAGTGACGAATAAATATAAATTCATTTTTTTCTTTTCATTTCTTTTTTACTTTAAATGCTTGTTCAGTTTAGTCCGTCGTCAAGGTGATGGGTGGGCTGTCCTACGTTCAGTCAATTACTTACCCCCACCACTAGGAAAATGATACTAGTTTTGTTTGCAGCTTTGTATGCTTCAAGCCATCAACAAACAGCATATTACCAACGTGTCAATACAATAAGTCTCTTTCTTTTTCCTTTTTTTTCTTTTGTAGTTTTAGCAAAGATTTGAGAATATTTTCTTTCAAAAATACGGAATATTCGTTCCAGCACTTCTATTAAAATAAAAATAGTTATTCTTTTAAAATATTTGTGTTACCAGATGGCTTAAGTGACGAATAAATATAAATCCATTTTTTCTTTAATTAATCATTATAAAAAAGACTACGAAATAAAAAATTGTCACATAAATCCCGGAAAGACAATGACCATGCTATAAAACCATGTTTGATAAGTGTTTTAGATGATCATGTGAGCAATGTAGTGAGAGATTTCGATTGCAGAATAACACAGGATACACTTCAGATGCACTTATTACACACCTTCGAAACTTTGTGATGCATTGGATTGAGAGATTACTGGATTTTATGGTCTTGAAAATTAATTGATTAAAAAAAATCAAGTTAATATTTATTCTTTTTTTTAATTATTTGTTATTGAACAGTTTATACACCGTTGTTTGCGCAGTTCCTAGTGTATAACCTCTCTTACCCATTCATATCTTCAGTGTCCTTCTGAGTTAATTTGCAACATCTGACTCTGATTTTATCCCTTGTCTATCCTTTGTTATTTTTAAGAGGATTTTTTTAACGTTTTCTCTTTCAACAGGATGTTTTTTTTCCGCTTTAAGTATCCTCTCTGTAATCCTAACATTGCCATTCGATATGCAGTTCAACTTTTTTTACAAATGGCCGTTCATTTTTTCACCTTTTTAGTTTGATGCCTGTTTATGTAGATTCGTGATTTTGTACTTGTCCTATTTGTCACACACAAATGTTTGACTCTCATGAGAAATTCTTCATTACTTTTGTCTTGTGTTGTCCTCATCTCACATAACAAGAGAGCCGATGAAATGTTCAGTGCTAATATAACCCCGCCATCTTTGCAAATCTAAACATGTTATCTTTCGTTGGTTAGGGTTTATTCATTTTTATTTTTATGAATTCGTTGAATGTTAACTCCTGCAAAAACTGATGTTTTCCTTTCCAGAGATTATGTGAGAGAAACTCTACTCAACACCTAATAGAATATTTTTCAGTCTCCTGGAAAAAAATATCATCGTCTAAAAGGCTACATCTCTCCACCTACTTACTGTCTTATTTTATCTTGCACTTCAAGACAGACCCCACCGCTCTAGTTATGAATGTCATGGCTGTCAGCATATTGGTCCATAATGTCGTCAGCTGTCTAGCAAGGTGAAATACATGCCTTATTACATACTGTAGTTGCTGGAACATGAAAATCTCTGTTCTACCATATTATTATTATTATTATTATTATTATTATTGATTTCTGCTATGGTCATACTACCTACCAAGACTGCGGAAAAACCTATGTCAATTTGTGGTGCGTTGTTTTGTCTACATTTCATGATTTGTTTTTTTTCTAACTCCCATAACATTACTAGAGTTACAGGGACAAAGTTATTCTTAGTGTGTGGGCCAATGTTTTGTATTTCTCTTAAGATGGGATTTCCAGGGATTTTTTCAACATTTATGGATGCAATTATTTTAATAATATTTATTTTGTACGTATCTTGGAAAAGATAATTATTGTCAAAAGATTTTTGAGGATTTTAATTAGCAAGATTATTTGAATTTTCACACATTTTGCTTTATATATGGGACGCATTATATAGAGAGAATCTCGACCTTAAAGTGATTCTATATCAGTCATACGCTGTCAATTATTGCTTATATATATATATATATATATATATATATATATATATATATATATATATATATATATATATATATATATGCATGTTTCATTAAAAACGACAGACAAGGTACTACGGTTAAGCGTTTTATTTAATTTTTCTTGTGTTCTGAAAAGAGCTTTCTTTTCTGGACAAAGGGTGTGTAAGAACTGTCTAAATGTTTTATATTTCTGAGCGCTTTCGGCTATACCTTTAGCCATTATCAAGGATGATTCGATTTTCAGCTTAATTGAGTGTGTGCGTTCTGTGTATGTATTAGTGTGTGGTAGGGATGTTTTTAATTTCCGATTTAATTGACGCTTAGCACATTGTGGCTTTGTTCGTAGTTAATATTGTTAAGAGTTGGCTATTTCTTTTTTATTATTAAAGCTTCCATTATTTTTAGTCTTTTTTTGCAGGTGGATATAGTTAATATATTTGTGTTTTCTACTAGTATATTCCTAATGGAATCGGGTAAATCTGTGTGTGTATGTTTAAATGGATTCTAATGGAGCTGTGATCAGATAGGTGTAACGTAAGACGTCTGGATAAGCATGTGTTTGTGTAGCCGATGTAATTATTTAGGAGTCCGGTTTGATATATATATATATATATATATATATATATATATATATATATATATATATATATATATATATATATTGTTCGCAAGTAGGATGTGGCAGATTCTTATGCGTCTTTTTCTCTTTCCTGTGCATTTTTTTTCTAATAAAATCTTCTTTTAAATAAAATAGCTATCGAATCACGGGAATTTATTCTTTCATTTCTGCGGCTTATTGTCCTGCTTTCTTTAAATTTTACTTTATGTAAATTGTTGCTTTTGTTGGTTATAAACATTTTTTTTCTTTCAGCATATAGAATGTCAAGTAAGTCAAGGTTCATTGTTATATGATTACTTGTAATTATTGGAATTATTACTAAATTATATTCATTTGCGTTTGTTGAAATCAAATCTTTGGTTCAGACGAAAGATTGCCAACCACTAAAAACTATTTATAAAAAGAAATGTCTTTCCATTGTCACAGCCCCACCTCTCTTTCTCTCTCAGGACAGAGTAAGAATATAATATAAAAGGCTCGAAGACTAATATTACATGGTAATAATTTATTACATTGGAATCGTAATCACGTTACGATTCATCAGACCTACAAATTCAAAAAGAAATCGGAAAATAACCTGGAGTTATATTTTCCGATTTCTTTTTGAATTTGTAGGTCTGATGAATTGGATAATGATTACGATTTCAATGTAATAAATTATAACTATAGAATATTAGTGTTTGAGCTTTTATATATATATATATATATATATATATGAGGCAAAAGTCGCGCACTCAACATAGGGGTTATTGGTTACGTCCAAGAGGTCCTGTTGCTACTGAGGTCATGGGACCTCGCACCATTGGACTTTTTTTCTGTCGGTTCATTTGAAATCAGTTGTTTATCAAATGCGCCCAAGAAATATTGGGGATCTTAAAGAAAGAATTAAATATGAGTGCCATATAATGACAGAGAAAACTCTCCGACGTGTTACGGAATCATACAGGCAAAAATAGAAATTTGTCCTGAAAAACACGTAGAAAATATCTTTATAAATTTAAGGTAAAAATAAAGAAACATTTCTAATGAATGTTAAAATATCAAAATTTTACATTACTAAACATTTCCCTAGGTTTTCTTTATTTAACAATTCTAATGGATATAAATCATATTTTTTCATTATATATATATATATATATATATATATATATATATATATATATATATATATATATATATATATATACACACATACATATATATATATATATATGTGTGTGTGTGTGTGTGTGTGTGTGTGTTTTGTTCAATTGGCTTATAGCGGAATGATATATTATGTTACTAGCCGCTGAAAAGCTGATGCAACACAAAGACAACATGAGACCATCTAAATTCAGAAACAATTTTATTCAAACTCCCGCTTGATATGTTTGTTCTCAGCATTGCCTCGTGGAAATGGAGATGCTAGCAATTATCAGCCTCATAATCATAATCAACATTATTGATGTTGTCATAAACACACACACGCGCACTCACACACATATTGTAATTCACACACACACACACACATATATATATATATATATATATATATATATATATAAGTCAATATTATTTTCTCGATTCGTTGGGAGCTATCGTCTCATTTCATTTTACATTGCCATTACTAAATCTTTCCTAAGTGCCTTAGTTCCCAAAAGACGAACCGTAAAAATACAATTCGTAAACATTTATGTGGTGTTTAGGGCGAGTGCGAATTAAATTCACAGCTTAAGTCCACAGAAAATCCATCACAACTTAATAAATCGATCTCCTTTAACGAGGGTTTCAGTAATTACTCAGTCATCCTCAATCTTCCCCTTTGCAAAACACATCAGTTTTGAAGGCCCTTTCTAAATCTGTATTCTAAGTCATCACCCTTCTGCATCTCGGTCGATTGGTGAAAAAGGAAAAGAATTTAATCTCAGTCCATTGCTGGTTCACGTTGGGCAGTGCCAGGATCCAATTAACTGACCAAGTCAACCTGTCGTATCGTATATGTTCATCCTGTGTCCGAAGACACGAAATGGTTGAAATGTGTGATGGGCCTTTATCGTTCAGGTGTAAAGGCACTGCCCAAGTGTGAATAATCGAGCGCACTTGATTTCTTCGTGAGCGTGATACGAACTCGCAATATAACCGTCTGTCGCTTTTACCATTGCTTGGACTGCCATCAGAAATAGTGCCAACGAGGGAGACACCTACGTACACAGGTTCTACGCTCAGAGTGACCAAAGCGACGAATG